AGGGGACCCAACCTAAAATGAGGAAGACCTGGATTCAAATCTTTGCTCAGACACTTATAAGTCTTGTTACTGTGGGTAAATCACTGAACTGCCTAGTTTCTTCATTTGTAAATGGGGTGGGGTTGGAGGGAGAAGGGAATTGACTCTATGGTCTCTGAGGTTCCTTCCAGCTCTAAATTTTCAATCCTTTAAGTACAGGCCTGGCCATGGATAATGTATCTATTTTCTGAAGACTAGCTAAATTCTGAAGAGATTTTATGACTAGCTACCCATTGATTAATTTTCTTTGGTCACAGCAACTCACAGAAACTACTGAGGCAGAGTAGGGTTGTGATCTATATCTATGGAAGGAAGACCCATGCCAATAAAATCTTATATCTCTCAGTCATTTGGCCATTCAACTTACATTTATCATGACCCTACTACATCCCATGAAGGACATAGGAGGGCAGTTAGGTGGTGCGGTGGATAGAGTGCTGGACCTGGAGTCAGGAAGACCTGAGCTCAAATCTGGCCTCAGATGCTTTCAAGCTGTGTGACCTTGGGAAAGTCACTTAACCCTGTTTGCCTCAGTTTCCTCATCTGTAAAAGTGAGCTAGAGTAGGAAATGGCAAACCGCTCCAGTATCTCTGGCAAGAAAACACCAAATGAGGTCATGAAAGAGTCATATATGAAAAAAGGCTCAATAACAATATGTCCTAGGCTCTGTGCCAAGCAAAAGAGAGTTCATGCTCTTAAGGAACTCATATCTCTGAAGAAGATATGAAGTATTAAGAAAATTACACTCTCTACAATAGAGTATCAAGTACATAATGACCTATAGAATGGAGTGGGAACTATGGAAGATCATCTTATCTCTGTATTTGACTCACAGTAGCTTGAGGCAGCTAGGTGGCTCAGTGGATAGAGAACTGGGCTTGGAGTCAGGGAGATCTGAGTTCAAATTTGGCCACAGACACTGACTGTGAGATCCTAAGCAAATCACTTAACCTTGGTTTCCTCAACTGTAGAATGGGGATCATAATAGCAGTCACCTCCCGAAGTTGTTGAAAGGATCAAATGAGATAATATTGGTAATGTGCTTAGCACAGAGCCAGGCACATAATAGGGGCTTAATAAATGCTTGTTCCCTTCTCTGATTCCTTTTCTCTCCTCCCTTCCCAAGCAGGGCTGATCGGGGGATTATCTCACCCAAAAACCTCCACCAAAGGCAATTCTATGCCCTTTCTCATTCAGTTCCAATCTCCTTCCAGATAATTCTTCCTTACTGCTAACTTAAGTTCATTTTGTTGTAATCCAGACCTAAGTGGTGATAAGTGACATTTTAAAACCGTATTTTGTTTTTTCCTACTGAGTGAAGAAATTCAAATTCAAAATATTTAGAACTCATTGCTCAGCTGTTGATAGATGTTTTCTCTTGGGGAAGATTTAAAATTGTGTTTGTGGTTTGCTTGTTATTTTAAATTACAAAAGCAAATTTTCCTCAGATAAAATTAGCAAGTTAAGAGCTCCCAAAGCAGACACAACCTGGGTATGATCATTTAAAATTCTTTTCTACCTTGTCGTCCCTCAACTCAATAAACTACAGTAGCTCCCTATTACCTCCAGGATCAGATTGAAAGTCTTCTGTTTGGCATTGAAAGCTTTTCATAAGTTGGCCCCATCTACCTACCTTCTTACGCATTAACCCCGCCTCTACACAGTCTACAATCCAGCTACAATGGCCTACTAGCTGTTCTTTATAAGCAAGGCTCCATCTCCCATCTCCAGACGTTTGCATGGGCTGTCCCCGTGCCTGACTTCCTCTCCCTCCTCACCTCTCACTCTCAGTTTCCTTCAAGACCCCACTTACAGTCTCTGCAGAAGGCCTTTCCCAGTCCTCCCAGCTGCTAGTGAGTTCTCTGAGATTGCCTTTCATCCAGGCTGTATATGATTTGTATGTACCTAGTGATTTACATATGGACTCACTCATTAGAAGGTAAGCTCCTTGAGGGCAGGGACTATGATTTTGGCCCTTCTTTATATCCCCAGCTCTTCACATCATGTCTGGAGCAGCTGCTGTTCAGTCATTTCAGTTGTGTCTGACCCATTTGGGACTTTCTTGGCAAAGATGCTGGAGTGGTTTGCCATTTCTTCTCCTGCTCATTTTACAGATGAGGAAATTGAGGCAAACAGGGTTAAGCCACTTGTCCAGGGTCACACAGCTAGTAAATGCCTGAGGCTGGATTTGAACTCATGAAGATAAGTCTTCCTGACTCCAGGCTTGGCGCTCTCTCCACTGTACCACTAGCTGCCTACTTGGAAAATAGTAAGCTTTTAATATGCTTTTTGATTGGTTATTTGTTCTGTGGGAACTTCAGAGAATGCCTAAAAAATTGTTTTTTAACTTTTGAGGGGGAAGGGGGTGGTGGAAGGAAATCAGAACTCTGAGAACCTCTTCTTCCTCCCATTCTTGCCCCCTTTCTTCAAAATAGTGCTATCAAGCTTTTTGCCGCTTTGCCCATTTGAGCCCCAAAACGAACTTTAATGATAATGCATGACATAATCTGTCATTACATATGATGTGATTATCATGTAAGTATTTTCTATATAACATAATATGTCTTAATATAAGTCTCTTTTTTCACTAGGACAGCTTTGGACTTGTAAGAGGGCTCACTGCCTTATCTTCATTCACTCATCTTTATAACATCATAGCTGTGCTTCCATGGAGAACCCCAAGCATCGTAGAGCACAAACCTTGAAGTGAGGGGAGTGAGGAGAGGGAGGACACTCAGTTCACAAACATTCCACACGTGTTAGGTCCTGGGGGAATGCAAAGATGAATCACCTTCTCTCTTAATCATTTTCTAATTTGTGCCATAGTAACTTTCCACTGAAGTCCTCCTCAAATACTTTGGCACGGCTACAGGGCAACTCTGGGCTTTCTAAGGCTCCTGCCAGAGGATTGCAGGCCCTGTTAGGTCCTACCAAGCTGAGAAGGCTTTCATTATGGAGCTGGTGAAAGAATTCATATCTTAACTTAGTTAAATATTAAGAAGTCCATCACCAAGATGCATGGGATCATAGGATCATGGATTGAGAGTGGAAAGGGATGCTAGAGGTCACCTCATCCAGCCCCTTCATTGTACAGATGAGGAAACTGAGGCCCAGATATGTGAAGTGATTTTCCCAACATCACACAGACAGTATGTAGTAGAGCTGGAATTTGAACTCAGGTCTGGAAAGTGAATTTTTTAAGTCAACAGCAACTCTCAGACATGATCTACTGGGGCATAGAGGGATGACAGCCTGTATTAGTGGAGGGAAAGTAGGAAGGAGAACAGGCATTTATTTAGCACCTACTATGTGCCAGGAAATGTGCTAAGCACTTTACAAATATGATCTCATTTAATCCTCACAGCAACCCTGGGAGGTAGGTGTTATTATGATCCCCATTTTACAGTGGAAGAAACTGAGGCAGAAAGAGGCTAGAAAGTATCTGTGGCCACATTTGAACTTAAGTCTTCCTGACTCCAGGCCCAGGTCTCCATCCATTGTGCCACCTGGTTGTCCCTCACCAGTACAATCGAAGATCTTTGAACTATTGAAGAATTATATTATTAATATCTGTGTACCCATCCCACCCCTTTACTAGACTTGAGGGCTTGTATATTTTTCCATCTTTGTGTCCCAAGCTCCAGGGGTTAATGTTTAGTCATTGGAGTTCTAAACTTGCTAATCTTATCTGAAAAGTCATTTTTAATATCTACCTTTTCTTGATAAGGAGATACTGTAGGCTAACCTGGGATCTTAGGATTGCCAAAAGCAGAAGGAAAGAAATGGGGCAGCAGATGGGGTTGGTTCAATGGAGCAGCTGCTGAATTTGCTCCTATTTCAGCTGTAAATTTTGGGAGACGTTTGAATCCATAGGAGCAATATTGGAGATAGACCAGATGAGAATTTTAGATCAAAGGGCAAGTTATGACTGATCAGTTTGGCCCTCTTCACCTGAAGATAAAACTAGGTACAATAATTTTTTTAAAAACATCTTAATGAAAGTGAAGACATCAATCAGTTCACCAAAGGGTATTCCTAATGCCCTTATTCCACTGCTCTTTTTAATAAAATAAAATATGAACCCAATAATCAGTCATTCAATCCACCAACACATATTTATTAAGCCCTTCTGTGCCAGGCACTCTGCTAGGCACTAAGAAAGCAAAGAAAAAAAAACCCTCTGCCCTGGAGGAGCATACAATTTGGCTAGGGAAGACAAGATGTAAATAGGTATAGGTATAAAATATATGAAAAATGGACTCAGGGTAATTTTATTAGAAAAAGAGTTTTCAAAAAAAGTATTCCACACATAAAAGTATCCCATACATTTATAATAAATATCAATGAATTTTTCTTCTCTGAATGTCAAAAAAGAAGAGAAAAAGAATGTCCAAGATACATTTTTCACAAAATATAACATCCTCACTCCCCACCCCACAAAAAAGTTTATTGAATTGAATTGAATTGAATGAGATCTAGTCCTTGCCCACTAGGAACTTACAGTCTTATAGAGGAGAGAATTACTTACTAAAGGGCCAAGGATCCTGTTTTTCACATTTGAAGGAAGGGGTGGGAGGGGTGTGGAATTAATGAAAAGAACTTCAAATCTATCCTAGCAGCAGAAATTCTTTTCCAGTCTCAGGACTCATTAGGAGCTACAGAAATTCCACTGAGTCAGTGCCAAAAGAAAAGAATCCAAACCGATAGGTCAATATTTGATTAGAGTTTCCCTTGGAAGAATAATATATGTCTTTACCTGGGACTAACAAGGGAAACCCCTGTGGCTAGATGACATTGAGGCAAAAATCCTAGAGTCTCTTTTGTGGTTTCTTACCCAGAGATCTCTGGTTCAACGCTGGCCCTCTCCTAGGACCCATGAAGCACTTTTCCCATTGGTATTAAAAATAGAACTTGGGGCTGCCAACCCTCTTAAAAGGAACATGGTGGAAATGAGTGCCAGGCTGTGGGGGGAGCTGATATTTGACTCAGATCACCTCCTTAAATAAACTCCAGGGCTTGGGATCCCTTGCTGCTACTAATTACCCACTGGGCGTTCTGACTCTCCTCTATGGACAGGAGGGCTATGAAAAATCCACTTTTCTCTTTTATTTTTCATTTCTCACTTTCAAAAGTGTTACAAAAGGATTGAAAGGTCTTGGGGGACCAGAGCTGTGTTTGATCCTATGTTTTGTTAAGTTAATACTCAGTAAATTGAATTGAATAACGAGGCTGGGAGTATGCAAAGGAGTTGAGGGTGGGGATGGGGAGGGCAGAGATGCATAAGTGAAGAAAATCTATTTCTTTCCCATCCCCATCTTTATTCATGGTTTACAAAATCCCCAGAGCGGTCTACCAGGCCCCAGGTAACCGATAAATTCCCCTGCCTCTCTCGGTAATGGGTGGAGCTACTAGTAACTTTCCTTTATCGACAGGCTACAGGGTTTCTGACAGCCAGGGTGACTCCCCTGCCTGTGGGTGAGGGGCACGAGAGATAGGAGACGGTCAAGAGCAGACATGCAAGGGCTGCACCTGTCAGTGGGCTAAGGTTATAACACTCTTGGGAAGGAAACTGCTGGGGAGCAGGCAGAAGCAGAGATCTCAAAACTATGGACTTTAGCCATACACACAGCTTAGCGTTTTCTCCAAAATTGGCTGGAGAATTGTTTTCCAGAAGTCTGTCTCTAACCTGGCTCACTGCTGAGAAAGCTGAAATTGAGAATGGTGTACTATTGTCCCACGTGATTTCGTTGCTACATCAGAAATTTGGGCAGAGAGGGGTGGTCTTAGTTCAAAGCATTTCTAGCTGGAAGGAACCTTAGAGATGAGGCAGCATGGAAACAGTGACAAGAAGGCTAGATGAAGAGGTCCTTGATTCAAAGCAGTCTTGTAATTAATTACCTCGGGCAAGTCACTTAACCTTACCAAGATTCGGTTTCCTCCTCTGTAAAATAGGAGGGTTAGACTAGATGTCCTCAGAGGTCCCCGCCAGCTCTGAATCTTCGATCCTGTCCTTTAGTCCGGCTTCCTAGGCATGGTGAGGAAGGAGATGGATTAAGTGCTAGGCCTGGAGGCAGGAAGACTTGGTCTGAATCCTGTTTCTGTGGAACTGAGAGAAAGCTGCTAACCTTACTAATCCTCAGCGTTCTCATCTGTAAAAGCTGGAAAGAATAAAACCCACAGTACCTACCTTATAGGGCTGTCCTGAAGGGCAAATGAGATCATGTAAGTGCTATATAAAAGTCAGTTATTAGTATTATTCTAGATGAAGGATACCAGGCCCTTAAAAGTGAAGTAATAGAAATAATAAGAACAACAACAACAATAATACATTTACATAGTGCTTTAAGGTTTACAAAACTCTTTACAAATATTATCTTATATTATGCTTACAATGATACTGGGGTAATCATAAATATTATTATCCCCATTTTTTTCAGATGAGGAAACTGAAACAAGGGAAGTGACTTACCCAAGGTGACGCAGCCAAACAAAGGCCTTTATATTATATCCTAGAGGTAGTAGGAAGTCATTGAAGTTTATTGGGGTGGGGTGTCACTTTGACACTTTAGGAAATTATTTTGGTGGCTCTATGGAGAGTGGATTGGAGTGGGAAAGACTGGTAGTTTGGAGGCCAATTAGAAGTCCCAATGAAAAGCCATGAGGGCCTATGCTAAAGTGGAAGCTATATGGATAGAGAGAGAGGATGTATACAACACATATTGTGGGAAAAGCATTCACAAGATTTGGCAACTTATTGGATATATATATAGAGAGAAAGAGAGGGAGGGAGAGAGACAGAGAGAGACCAAGACAGAAAGAGACAAAGAGAGAGAGACACAGAGAGAGAAACAGAGAAAGGAGAGAGGAACAAAGAGAGAAGACAGAAAAAGAGAGACAGAGACAGAAAGATAGAGACAGAGACAGAGAGATAGAGAGAGACAGAGAAATAGAGAGACAGAGACAGCAAGAGATGGGCTGTGGATGGCACTGAGGTCGTGAACCTTGGGTACTAGAAGGAGGGTAGCATCCTCAAAGTTTCAGATAGCAGCCCATTGACCACCAGACCAGTTGCTTGAGTTTGCCCCATAGAGGCGTGCTGCACAGGTAGGATTCCACCCCAGGCCTTCCAGTGTTCTTTCTGCTATATTGTGATGGACAAACCTTCCAGCATTTAGCGCTCAATACACATGAAATAGGCTGCTTTGAGAGACCCTCATCTCATCAGAGGTTGTCAGGTAGAGCTTGGACAGCCACTTGGCAAGGGATGTCATGGAACCAAGTGGGGTCCAGGAGCCCCTGTGAATCCCTGACCCCCTTTTGGGGGGTTGTTGATGTCAAAACTATATTCATAATAATACTAAGATGTTTTAATTTCTAATGTGGCAAATATCAATAGACATAAGCCAAAGCTCTTTAGGATGCTCATTAAATTTTGAGAGTAGAAATGGGTCTAGGGACCAAAAAAATTTGAGAAGCACTGTTATGGAGGATATTCCTGCTGAGGCCTCCGGGGTCACTTCTAGATCTGAGATTCTATATTTTAAGGGCTATCTCTGACCCCAGGACAGTAAAATACTATAGGAGCTCAGAAGAGGGAGATATCACTGAGGGCTGGGTTAATCAGGGAAGGCTTCCTGGAAGAGGTGAGACTCAAGTTGGCTCTTGAAGGCTAGATAGTGAGACAAGACATATACATGAAAGAATAGTTAACAGTAGAATGAAGCACTTGCCAGGTGCTACATAAGGATGTACTAAACAAGTGTTATAGGATGACAGGCAATGTGATATAATGGAAAGAAGAGCAGATAAGAGGAAACCCAGGTTCAAGGTTTAGCAAGTCACTTCCCACTGAGGCAGCTAGGTGATATAGTGGATAGAGCCCTGGACCTGGAGTCAGGAAGACTTAAGTTCAAATTCAGCCTCAGACTCTTGCTAGCCATGTGACCCTGGGCAAGTCACTTTACCTGTGCCTGCCTAAATTTCCTCATTTGTAAAATGGGGATCATAGTAGTGCCTACCTCCCAGGGTTGTTGTGAGGATAACATGAGAGTATATTTTTTTAAGTATTTTGCGAACCTTAAAGCATGGTATGAATGCTAGCTATTATTATTTCATATCTGGGCCTCAGTTTCCTCATCTGTAAAATAAGAAGATTGAACTAGATGATCTCTAAGGCCCCTTCCAGCCTCAACATGCTATAATTCTGTGGTCCTTACCCATTGTTCCTTGGGTGGGGAGGCCCAGGAACTATAGCGTTTGCTATGGAGGATCCATTAACCAGGTCAAGAGCAACGTTTGTCATTTACTCAGGGCTAGCAGGTGGTCAGGGACCGAGAGAGATAGGGACAGACAGCTCTTGACATTTCAGGAAAAAAAATGAAGAAGGTCCACCCAAACACCCTGAGCCTCATCTCAGGCCACTTCCTTTGTATTTTTCTTGGTTCTTGATCTTATTTTTGTGTGTGTGTGCAGAAATACATCACAAAAATAGAAATGAGCCCAGGGTTTGAAGTATCACAAAGTGTATCTTTTTCCTCCCATAGGGAAAAAAATCTGACAAAACCTAATTTATCTGGAAGGACAAACCACATGGCATAGGCCCCCAGTGCTTTGTTGTCCTTACTTGAACAAAAAAAAAAAAAACCTGCACAGACTTTTGCTAGAATCCCCCAGTTTCCTTACCTGTAAAATGAGGGGATTGGACTAGATCCTAGGTCCCATGGCATTTATGGGCCTATCTTTTTATCAGACTGTATTATGGTTTAGAGTGCTTGTGTGGCAGTGTGTGTATGTGTGTGTGTGTGTGAGTGAGTGAGAGAGAGACAGAGACAAAGAGAAATAGAGAGACAGAATAAGAGAGAAAGAGAGAAGAAGAGACAGAGAGAGAGAGAAGAGAAAGAGAGAGTAAGAGAGAGAGACAGAGGTAGAGAGAGATCCCACCTTTGGATTGTGAGCTTCATGAGGACCCCAGGAATATCTAAACATGATCTCCCCCAGCACTTGTATGGTCCCATGCACAGGGCTCTGCACATAGTAATAAGAATTCTATAAATGTTTGTTGAAATTGAATATTATCTCTGATGGTCAGTTCCCTTTCAGCTCTGGCTTTCCATATGCTATGCCTACACCAGCTCTTACATTCTATAATCTACATTCTAAGATCCACTGGTTCTCACAGTCTATACTCTAAGATGTATTCTAGTTCTGATAGTCTAAATTTTAATTCCGACATTCAATGATCTATAATTCAAGTATTCAAGTTAGGGAAGTCAGGATGGTGAGATTGATAGAGAACTAACTTCAGAATAAGGAAGACATAGGTTCAAATCTAAACCACTCCTTCCAAACTCAATCTCAACCAAATCCTTTCCACCCCTGCTTACTACCCATGTAATCATAGGCAAGTCATCTAACTCTCCTGGACCTCAGTTTCCTCATCTGTAAAATGACAGGACATCTGAAATCCCTTCAATTGATGGTCCTATAAACTTTGCAATGCTGGGGAAGTCACGTAACCTCTCAGTGATCCCAGGTAGTTGACAATTGGAGGACAGTGGAAGATCTGAATGAAGACAGACAGACAGACAGATAGATAGATAGTCACTGTTATTCAGTAGTTTTTCAGCCATGTTCAATTGTGCAAGACACCATTTAGGGTTTCTTGGCAAAGATACTGGAGTGGTTTGCCATTTCCTTCTCCAGAAATATAGATAGACAGACAGACAGACAGATAGATAGATAGACAGGAAGAGAGTTATAGATATAAACATAGATTGGGGGACAGCTAGATAGTGCAGTGGATACAGCACTGGGCCTGGAGTTAGGATGATTCTTCCTGAGTTTAAAACTGACCGCAAAGACTTACCAGCTTTGTAGCCATGGCCAATTCACTTAACCTTGTTTGCCTCAGTTTTGTCATCTGTAAAATGAGCTGGAGAGAAAAGGTCAACCACTGTAGTATCTTTGCCAAGAAAACCCCAGATGGGGTCACAAAGAGTCAACCACCACTGAAAAATGACTGAACAACTAGGCATATATTATATAGAGAGAGATTTTATAAGAGGGAGTTTCCTCATTGGAAATTGCCTACGCTGATGGAATCCCGGGTTGGGATCACATTTCAAGGTGTCTGCCAGCTAAGAGGTTCTGAATATGGTTCTAAATATTTAGCAAATATCGTCTGAAAAACTTCCTGGTTACACACAGCATGTGCAAATGGTCTAATCTCCAATGACAGTCTGATGGCCTTTGCCTCCATCAGCCCCAGTCTGTCAGAAGCTTTCTAGGGAGGATCTGCTTCCATGTGCATGAAGATGATTAGAGTAGCTTTGGGGGAGTTATAAAAGAGCACTTAAAAATAGATGATAGAATAATAATAGTTCATATTTATGTAGCACCTTATGGTTTACAGAGCACTTTCCTCCCACAGCCTTGTGATTTAGGTAGTATAAGCATTATTAACCCCACTCTACAGAAGAGGAAATGAAATCTCACAGAAATTCAGTAATTTCCCCCACAGCTACACAGCTAGTAAGTGCTAGAGTGGACACTTGGACTCAGGTCATCTAGTTCCAAATTCCTTGCTCTTTTAACCAGGCCACAAAAACAAGGGAATACTTTTGTGGTCTGACAGTGTGGTCGGGGTGAATCAGAAGGAAAAACATTACTAATGTTTCCTCCTTCTGAAATCAGAGGCCTAAAAGGGGCCTCCACTAGTTTCTCTCTCTCTCTTTCTCCCCTCACTCCATTCCCCCTGCACCCCCTCTTTCTATCTCTTTTTGTCTATCTCTGTCTCTGCCTGTCTCTGTCTCTCTCTTCCTCTCTCTTTCTGGAAAACATGGCAACTCAAAAAGACAAGTTCAGGGGACCCCTTAACATTCTGTAACAATCTCTGTCTGTCTTTTGTCTCTGTGTGTGTCTCTTTTTCTCCCTTTCTCTGTCTCTCCCTGTCTCTCTGTCTCTGTCTGTCTGTCTGCCTCTGTTTCTGTGTCTCTCTCCCTCTTTTTCTCTCTGTCTCTCTCTACCTCTGTCTCTCTGCATCTCTCTGTGTCTCTCTCCCTTTGTCTCTTTCTAGGTCTCTCTCTTTCTCTATCTATCTTTCTGTCTCTGTCTCTGTCTCTGTCTCTAGCTCTTTCTCTGTGTCTCTCTGTCTGTCTCTGTCTCGCTCTCATTTCTAAAATTTTCCATTAAAGATTCCAGGGGTCCTAGCAACTCAATTATTCTTCCTTCTATCTCATCCAGAGCATTTCCATTGCAATTTAACCCCATTATCTTCATGGCCTGTCCTTGCTGGTTATGGAGAACAAAGAGAAACCATCCTCTATCGGAGGAGGGGCCTGACACAGGCAGGTTACAGATATGTGAGCGTGTCAGGGCGTGATAAGCACTCAGGAGCAAGACCTCATCATCTCCTCTGCACTCAGGCATAGCCCCAGGAGGAGAAGAGATGTGAAGCAAGGAGAGGAGATCCCATGATCCCCTAAACAAGGGGCAAATAGTTAAAAGAACTGGGGTAATTTATCCTGGAGAAAAGACGATTCAGGGAAGATGGGATCATTGTCTTAGAGTACTGGAAGGTTAGCCAACCAGTCAACAAGCATTTATTTGGCACTTACTAGATACCAGGCACTGTTTTAAGTGCTGAGGCTACAAATAAAGGCAAAAACAGCTGCTGCTTTCAAAGGACTTACATTCGAATGAAGGAGACAATAGTTAAACACCAGGGAACATATAACATATATACAGACTAAATGGAACATAGCCTCAGAGGGAGGGACGTGGAAAGGCATTCTGTAGAAGACAGGATTTGAGTTGAGTTTTGATGGGAGCCAGGGAAGTTAACAGGCAGAGAAATGAGGAAAGAGAGAAATGAGGAAAGAGAGAAGAACCAGAAGTTCCAGAGAGGTAAATTTAAGCTTGATGTAGGAAAAAAAAATTCCTAACAAGTCCCAAGCACTTCATAAAGCAGTGGTTTCCCCATTGATGAGCTGATAAATATTTAACAACTGGCTTTCAGAGAGGGGAGGGAAGTACACTTGACACACTTTAATCTCCATTATAAGCTTTTTCTCCTTCACCTTAGCAAGTCTAGACAATCAACAAAACAATAACTCAAGCTTAAATTTATACCATTTGCCAATTTCTAAGGTGTGAAGGCTATATATTTAACAATCAGCTCTCGAAAGCCAGCTAGAGCTGGCTCCAACACACCCTTGGCTCCCCCTTAGTTGCGGGCCTTCAAGTTGAAGCTGGGTGGAGATGCTGAGGAAGAGGCTCTCATTCAAGTCTGGATCTAGCTAGGTCGCTTAGGAGGTCCCTTCAGACTTTGAGATTCTGGGACTTTGTTCTTAATGTGTCAATCAACGGATCACCTCCTGTGCGCCCAGCATTGTCAAGTTAGGAGCCAGGGCGGAGCCTCAAAGTCTTAGATGTTGTCCCGGCCCTTGGGACTGAGTAGGGAAGATAAGGCCTAGGCATGAATAAGCGGAATGTGGGCAGAACGTGGAAGAGCTGCTAGAAAAGTAGAACCCAAGTGGCCAACGCTGATAGCTCATGCATCTTTGGAATGGACAGTGACAGGCTTTCTTTGCAACAACTCTGCGAGGTGTCTCTGTTTTATAGGTGAGAAAACTGAATAGAATAGAGGAGAAATGTCTTGCCCAGGGTCACACACCAAATCAATTAGCAAGCATTTATTAAGTGCTTGCCATCGTACCAGGCACCAGGCGCAGCTAGGAAGCATCAAAGCCAGGCACCAGAGCCCCTGATTTCAGTTCTCTTTCCACAGTACCCCACCATTGTGGGGAGTGGGCAAGGTAGAAGGATATAAGAAGAAGCATTTATGAAGCACCTACTATATACCAGGAACCGTGCTAAGTGCTTTACAAATATTATCTCATTGGATCCTCACAGCAACCCTGGGAGGTAGGTGTTATTATCCCCATTTTATAGTTGAGAAAACGGAACCAGACAGAGGTCAAGTGACTTTCCCAGGGTTACATAGCTGGGTAAGTGTCTGAGGTAGGATTTGAACTCAGGTCTTCCTGAGTAGAACAGTAAAGTAGATAGATCACCAAGCCTGAAGTCAAGAAGATCTGAGTTCAAATCTGGCCTCAGACACTCACTAGCTGTGTGACCCTGGATGAGTCACTTGATCCTGCTTGCCTCAGTTTTCTTACCCATAAAATGAGCTGGAGAAGGAAATGGCAAACCACTCCAGTGTCTTTGCCAAAAAACCAAAAAACAAAAAACTCAAAAGGGGTCATGAAGGGTCAGACATGACTGAAAAAAATGACTAAACAACAATTTTATGATTCCAGGCCCAGTGTTCTACCCGCTGCACCCATCTAGCTGCCATTACATTGTAGATGCAGATTCAGCTGCAAATCCACTGTGACTTGCTCGTTTTTTTTTTTTTCCTGTGCCTGTGCACTATCCATATCATAACTGCGCTATTTTGCTCTCATTAAACATCAAAGCAAACCCAGTTAGAGTCTAGAATAGTAACTCTCTGATGGAGAAATCATCTTTGGAATTCCTTGTTACTGTGGGATGTGGAGATTTTGAGCCCAGTTTCAATTCCTTGAGATATACGGTTGGGCTAGGATTTGGTTTGCTTCAGTCATTGTAATTTATCAATGGAAGCAGGACTGCAGAAGAGGGAAAAAAACCCCAGAAAACAAACGCTAGACCTGCAGTCAAGAAATCTGTGGTTGAGTTCTAATTTCAGTTCTTTCCACTGTAGCGTGATGCCTTTCAAGGATGCATAGCTAGACTGGTACAGTGCAGAGTTCTTAGCTTAGAGTCACAGATCCTGGATTCACAGCTAGCTCTGCCACTTGATACCTGTGTGATCATACCTGTGGGATACTTTGGGCAAGGCATTTAACTTCCTCAGGCCTCAGTTTCTTTATCTGTGAAAATGGGGGTGTTAAATCTGGTACTGACTACCACGAAAAGTAGACAATGCAAATTTATTTTGTATAACTCTAAAAGAAATGAGAGGTTTTATTAGTATGGAACAAATTGTTGTTTGTCCTTTGTTCTCGAAGAGAACCATGACATCAGGAAGACAATGCCGCAACTTGCAAGTGAACTGGATTTAAGTGAGGGAGGACTGTGCAAGGTCACCAGCCTCACTTCCTCCTCTGGAGTCATCTGCGTCAGGGGTCCTGATATAGATCAGGATGACTGGAGATGGCCCCCAAGAAACAAGTTACCTGGATAGAGAAATATTCCCTTTCCAAAAAAGGGAACAATTCCAATAGCATCAGGATGGGCCTACCTGGGTTTTTCTTTAATATTTTATTTTATTTTTTAGGCAATTGGGATTAAGTGACTTGCCCAGGGTCACACAGCTAGTAAGTACCTGGGGTTTTTCAGTAGACAATCAGACACTGGTGATAAGTTCTTTAAGGAAATTGCCATTACTTCCTTTTTTTTTTTTTCCTGGGGAGAAGGGAAATAGTAATGACCTGCCTTAGAAGTTGTATATCATGAGAATTTGTGGAGTCCCACCCAAAGGAGCTTCCTTCAGGGACAGAGCATGGGTTTAGGAGAGGTAGGGAAAAGGAATTCCATATGCCCGAGATTTATCAAACCTCAGTCTTCACCTGAGAGGCGACCTGACTTCATTTGAAGTTCTGTGCTCCAGCATATCTCATTATCCTTGAAAGGCATCATGCTGGAGTGGAAAGAACATTGAACCTGGCATCAAGAGACATCCTTGCCCTTTGACCTTGAGTTTTCTTACCTATAAAATGGACTTCACTAGATCAGGGGTTCTTAACCAAGCTAGATCAGAACTTTCACAAAGTACATTGGGGCAGCCCCAACGGGAATGAATTCCCATTATTCATTACAATCTGTGAACCTTAGTTAAAAAAAAAACACATTTTAATAACTGTATTTTAATATCATTGGTTTCCTTTGTAACCCTATGTGTTTCATTTTGTTCCTTTGAAAACACTATTCTGAGAAGGGGTCCAGAGGCTTCTTCCAGGTTGTCAAAGGGATCCATAGCACACAAAAGGGCAAAAGCCCCAGGACTAGATAATCCCTAAGGTCCCATCCACTTCCCAAATCAAGTGTTCACCTCTGTGAGCCTTAGTCTCCTCATCTGCAAAATGGAAATGATACCTGCCCCGCCTACCTCACCGTGTGGAAAATGCTTCACAAAACCGTAAAATGCCCTATAAATATGAGCTAGAAGTTTTATTACTGCCAACCCCTCTCCAACCTTGATCTGTATCCCCTTTGTTTGACATCTTTTCCCTGATCGCTTTGAAGACTTCACCGTGGCCATCTTCAAGGCATGTCCTAAGCCCTGGAAACATCTTTACCACTAATAGGTAGAGACCGAGAGTCAGGAGACTTGAGTTTGAGACCAAGCTCTGACTCTCACTGGCTGTGTGAGCTTAGGCAAATGCCATGGACTCTATGGTCCTCTGTTTCTTCACCTGTAAAATGAAGGCATTAAATTAGAAAGCCTCTAAGGCCCGTTCCAGCTCTGATGATCTATGCACTCATGAATCAATGGATCCATGGGGGGGGGGGGGAACTTCAGCCAGCTGCATCACACTTGCAGGTTGGGGCAGTGAAAAGAAAGAATAAGATTACTACTTATGACTACAACAATCATGCAGAGACATGTAGGGGATTCAGGTCATCAGTGAAATAAGATCTCAATATCAATAAATCTACTACGTGTTGGCTGTGGCCTACCTTCCTGCCATGGCTTATGCTGATGATGTCTCATCCTTTAGTCCCTGAGCCCTGCTCTTATCAACCCCTGGTGTCATCCAAAGCACTTTGCTGAGTACCCTTGGCTCAATGAATGAATTAGGTGTGTTTCGACCTCTGCGACCTCTTGAGGAAGTTCCAGTGACCTCTTGAGGAAGGAATGACTGGCAAAGAAAAAAATAATAGTTATTACTGCACCAAGTGATTGCATTCACTGACAATCCTGTCAGCACATTGCTGTAGAAACTCAAGGAAGAGAGAAGGGGAAAAATAGGAAGAGGGTAGAGAGGGAGAGATGTGCAGGGGTGGGGAAAGGGGGACATACTGACTGCCGGACTAACAAGATGGACTGCAATAACACATTTTTCCTGGCGGTAAGCTTCATTCCGTGGCTTTGCTCTCGAGCAGGCTGGAATAGGCTGATTAGCCGGTATCTTAGGACAGGCTGTAAGCACTTGAAACATGCAAATTGGTTATGGGGCATAAATAGAGTTTGCTGAGCTCACCCCAGGCATCTTTGCCGACTCCAGGGCCCCTTCACTCTGTCATTTAGGGTGGGGAGGAGGAGGCAGGCTAGGAAAGCCATGCAGCTCAGGACTCGTCTTCTCCATTGGACGTATATGATTTCTCTATGCATCTGCCGGACTTTTCCTCTCTCCCATTTTCAGGACAGCACCTGCAGCTCTGACCCACCCCCTTCTCTTGGCAGCAATCTGCTTCCCTCCGGAGACGGCTCCGTATTAACTATCCCGTCTGACATAATAATGGAGAGAAAATGAAGAAATTCCATTAGTAGCTGGCCAGCTCAGGGTCTCTGTGGTGCACTAGAGCCGGGAGGAAGAAGCCTGTATTTTTAGCTAGAATGCCATGTAACTTACTGGCTCTCGAGATGTAACTTACAGGCGCTGGCAAAGCTGGGGGAATAGATAACTAAGGTTGGGGGGGGTGGGGGGAGGCAGGCTCGGATTTCAGCTCAAGTGCTGGACTATGGCAGCGAGACAGGGCAGGTCCGATCCAGACCCTGCTGTGAGTATACAACCTGCTTGTCATTGGGCTCTAATGAAAGAAAGCTGCTTGTTGCTTTTCTGTTTTTAATTACGAAGGGACTTGGGTCTGCCTCGCCTCTTCCCTGGGCTCTGGGAAGCCGGCCAGCTGCATGAGAGCCGCTTTGCTATTGGAGCCCATGTGTTGCTATCATTTTAATCTTTGTAAGGGCTGCTGTAACTAAATGGACCGGGAAGCGGACTGCTGGAAGGGGTAGGGGAGGAGAGTGGAGGGGGTGGGGGAGGGGCGTGTGAGGAGAAGGGGCTTAATGAACTTCCAAGGGGCTTTCCATAGAAGGGCTTTTGGTGCAGAGATTGAAATTCCTTTCCGGCATAGCCGAACTGCTGCTGTGTCCTTTTGCTGCCTCATACTGAGACACACAGGGAGGCTTCTAGCAGAATCCAGAGGAAAATTCCTCCGGACTTAGGAGGCTGCAGCTGAAAATGGTCCCCTAATTTAGCTTTGCTGTGAATGCTCAAATATCCGGCTTAAAAAAAACCTGTAGCTTCCACGCTGCGCTTCCCTCCTCCCCCTAAGGGGAAGGGGCAAGATGTGTCCTTCTGAGAAAGCAATTTGGAGTGAACAGTTCTGCCCCATCAGGTTCCTCGCGTAGCAAACAAACCGAAATCCCTGTTGCCCCGTCCAGATATCTCTTCTGTCATTGGCTGCCATCCTTCACCTCAGTCTCACAAACCTGGCAGGTAAAATTAAGGTAGGCATTACATTGCTTTTTTTCCTCCCTTCACCAAAGCAGAACAACTCTCCCCTCCTCCCCAATTTGCTTGGTCCAAAGCAGCTCTTGTGGAGAAGTAAAGGCTCGTGGTTTGTTTGCCAAGTTCATTGACAGCATACTCCCTTCACCAGAAACTGGCCCCATGGATGCCAACTGATTTCCTCCCCCACAAGATGAGAACGGTCTCACTGAATGGGTTTCAATGAGGAAAAAACTTCACAGGGGCTCTGGCTCACCATCCCCAGAATACTACATTGTCCTGCAGGGTTATTATTCGAGCCTAAAACAACTTACATTCTTCTCCCTCCCCATGGTATTTTATAAATATTCTTCCTAGTGAGAGACAGAAGATATATCACGAGCCAGCCTTATAATCAGTAAGCCCTGTATTCAGGTTTTACCTTGAATGCAAACTGGCAGTGTGTCCTGGGGTGGGTCACCTAACCTTGCAATGCTCCTAAGTAAGTCTCTAAGACTGTAAGTGTGGTGTGGGCTGCCAATCTGAAATGGTATAGGGAGTTTCCTTATTGGATGGAAACCAACAAAATCATAAGTTTTATATGTATTTAAAAAAAAGAACCCAACTGTAGTTAGGTAAGTAAATGTCTTACTTTGTATACTGGGACATTAAAATGACAGGCAGAAAGGCTCAAGGTCTTACAGCAATGGGCTCCTTCAATAGGTGATGAATGCAGAAGGAACAAGGACTGAAGGCTTATAGATTTGCAGCTGGAAGGGCCCTTTGAGGGTATTGAGTACAACCCTCTCATTCTACAGATGAGGAGCTAAGGCTCGGAGAGTTTAAGTGACTTGTCCAGGCTTACATAGCTAGTAAGTCTCTCCAGAAGAATTGAACCTAGGTCTTCCTGATGCCAAGTCCAGCACTCTATTCACTATGAGATGATTTTTCCAGGCACCACAACTATGCTGAAGATTAAAAAGAACCCAGGGATCCTGGTTCTCTAGCCAGTTTTAATTACTCACTGATCCTTTCGATTTTCTGATTTCATTTTAATGGGAGGGGTATGATTATAATCTCCTGTGTTAATGTGTAAAGCTTTATTTGGCAGTAAGACTTCCCAGAAAAAATTTGAAAAATGGTATTATTATCATCATTATTAAACAGCTCACAGGAGTAGAAGATCCTCTTTTGCTCAGGAACTGAGGGCATACAGGTGCTGGGCTATTGTTTATGGACTTCTCTATAGAGGCTAGAATCAGTCCTCCAGAACTAGCCGTGTGAATGATGCTTATCATTCTAGAGGGGTGTAGGTGGCACAGGATACACAAAATGCCCCAGATTAGAAAATCTAAAATCCTGAATGGGGATTGTATCTGCAGGGGCATAGGGATGCATCTAGGGTTTCTTGTTAGGAGAGCTGGCAGTGGTTTTCCAAAACCAGCAGAGTTTCAACTGAAACAGAGACCCTTAGGAGAGAGGTTCTGCTGGGGAGCTTGCTGTCTGAGCCTGAAGGGTGGTTTTCTGATCCTTTGTTCCAAGTTCACATTTCTCTCTCTCTCTTTTTTTTTAATCAGTGTTGTGCTGTGTAAATATTGTATGCAAGAGAGATCTCATGTGAAGCCTTAAGTAACTGGAGCATTTGAGGAAAGAGAGACACACAGAGACAGAAATAGAGAGAGACACACAGAGAGACAGAAGAGATGAAAGCAGAGATAGAGTTAAAGAGGAGAGTCACAGAGACAAAGAGAAGAGAGAAACAGAGTCAGAGACAGAGAAAGACAGTGACAAAGAGAGACAGGAGGAGAGACAGAGACAGAGACAGGCAGAGACAGTGAGAGAGAGAGAGAGAGAGAGAGAGAGAGAGAGAGAGAGAGAGAGATGGGGAGACAGAGACACAGAGAGACAGAGAGACAGAAGAGAAAAAGGCAGAGATAGAGTTAAAGAGTCATAGAGGCGAAGAGAAGAGAAAAACAGAGTCAGAGAAGACAATGACAAAGAGACAGGGGAGAGACAGAGACAGAGATAGACACAGACAATGAGAGACATTGAGAGAGAGAGAGAGAGAGAGATAATGCTGGGATTCTATTTCTCTGGGGTTCATGTGTTGAAAACTAAACTTCACCTACCCTGTATCATATCACAAACCCCACTTTTGACTCTCTCTTCTTACCTATGTTAAAAGACATGCTGACATTTAAAAGTGTTCTTCCTGCCTCTTCCCTAGCCCACGGCGGGTTCCCCGGGTGTTTAATCTATTGCCATATTAGCATCTCCCCACACAGGAAGTGCAAAGTTTAATAATAGTCTGGATGTCTCAGTTACCCACAGCTCACTCCCCTTGCATCCTGTGCTCCATTTGGAATTTAATTCACTTCCTTTCCCTTCCTTTTCTCTTATTTCCTCTCAGGACTGTAGTTAGCCTAGACTCTGTTAACTCAGACGAGTTACTTCCCTCTAGTTTAGAATGCAGAGGATTGCCAATGGAGGATAGAAATAGTTGGGTTCTGTGGTTCTGTGCATGTTTGAGGGGAATCTGAGATTAATTACAGTCATCTCTTAGGCCAATTGATAGAAAAGATGGGAACTTATACCTTAAGTTTTTCCCTAATCCCACTATATTTAGGCCAGTTAAATTTAGTTTGCAAGACCCATAGGAATAAAAGAAGAGGTGGCTTGGTTGGTTAAGCAAGAGTGAGGGATGGACAGAATGTTTGAGAATATACTATAAGACTCAGAGAAAGGCCTCGAGGTAGATCTGTCAATCAACCAACAAATATTGTGTCTATTATGTCCCAGGCACTATGCTAGGTGCTGAGGATACAATGACAAAAACGAAATAATCCTTGCCCTCAACGAGCTTACATTCTGTCAAGGGAGGTAATGCATACAGATGTTACTAAAAGATAAATCCTCTTATGATTTATGGGAGGATATAGGCAAAAATAGTATGGGAAATCAATTAATCAAGAAACATTTATGAAATGCCTACTATGTGCTCTATACTCTGCCAAGCATTCAGGATACAAAAGAGGCAAAAGACAGTCAATCCCTGCCCTCAAAGAACTTACAATCTAATGGGAGAGGGAACATGCAAACAAACATATACAAAGCAGGCGATATACAGGATAAATAGAAAATACTTAATAGAGGGAAGGCACTAGAATTAAGAGGGGGTGAGAGGCTTCCTGTAAAAGTTGGGAAAGTGTGAGCAGATTGAGGTCTGCAATCACTTAATATGAGCAGGCATGAATGAGTTGTGATCTTTGTGAGTAAAGGGAGCACCCATGCCAATGAGATTGTGGATTGGCTAATTGTCAAAATATAAAGCAGATTAAAATGAATGTTGTAATATGCTAGGTGCTATGTAGATCTTTTTTAAAAAATGGAAAGATGTCACTGATATGAAATAAGGAGGTATAGCTTCAAGGGCTGGCTTGTATGACTTATCTTGTGTTCCAAGATCTTAGAGAAGGAAAATATCACTGTACTTTGGAGTAGAAGGGGAAGGTTTTGTGGAGATGGGACTTTGATAGTTATGTAAGATTTAAGGTCTTAAAAGTCATATAAGATTTGAATGGACAAAGAGGCAAGGGAAAGGTGTCTATATGAAACAGAAGCATGAAGGCAGGAATGAGTTGGGGTTTGGGGGAGGGGATTAATAAATAGATCAATCTGGAAGAAATGGAAAACTCATGCTGAGGAGCCGTAGGATGTAAGAGGAAGATAGGGTCAGTGGATACAAAACTTCGAATGGCTGCTACCCAAATAGTTTGGGTTTGGTCTATAGGCAATGGGAAACCATTGAAGGATCCACAGCAAGGAAGGCGACATGAAGGATTCAGTGTTTTAGTAAAATGTGTCTGTTGGCAATTTGAGGGATAAAGTAGTGAGGAGGTCTGGGTGGTCAAGGACTGAGCCTGGTGGAAAGTAAGTGTAGCTGGATTTTTTTCCCCTCAAATGGAGATTCCAGCAGTGAACTCACCAGATGGAGGAGGAAGCCACAGGTATGGAGGCATTGTCAGCAGTGCCCCATTGGGGCCAAAGTGGAGGAGTCTGGAACAAGGAGCTGAACCAGGGGCGGGGGGTGGGAAGGTGGGAGTTTGGGGGGTGGGAAACGAACATGTCTGCTGGGTTGTGGAAAGACCCTTGGATTTCTTGGCCATTTGCCACAATTGTGGCCATGTGCAAATCACTTTACCTCTCTGGGACCCAGTCTCTTCATCTG